TGCATGAGCACTGTGTTGGGCATCCAACTTCAAATTGAACAATTTATATGTTGGAAAATACCGGAAAAAAAGATAAAAAGGCGAACTGGCAGCTAGTGTTTGTAGAAAAAAACAACCGCTGTATAGAACAAAAGAATACTCCCGGGGGTGGGACTGGGGCGGTGCCAGGGTATGTTCGCTTCATACTTTAGGTGAGATAATATTTTGCCGTGACTTGATCGTCAACAAGACCAATATTACTAATGTAGTTTACCAACTGGAAGGGATCCTAAAAACCACGCTAAGCTAAATGGGAGTATTGGGAAGAAGTTAACAAATGCCGAGAAAAAGTTATTGGATTTCGAGAAGAGATTTCGAGAAGAGAAGATCGTCCGTTCCAAAGTGGAACTAATTTGATCAGATTAGTTCATTGCACGACATTCATTCTTAGAATCGTTAATTCATATTGTGACATCGTTTGCTTTGAACACGATGCTGATGAAACTTAAACAAAAAATTACCTTGCAGGACCACTTTCCCACCTCCACTATCCTCTTTCTAGTATTATTTTGGCCCTATTTTGATAGACAACTTCTTGTAAAATTAAAAGAAAATTCGTGGTTAACTTTTCCTTGAATTGCCTCCAGTATTGCACAGTGTTGATGAAGTGTTCAGGCAATGGAGGTTAGCGTGTCTACGTAAACAAGGAAATACATACGTCACCTCTGATGGACAGTTTGGTTAGCAGCGTCCTGGAACACGCCAGCGAGACGTAAATAGTTCCAAGCAAAAACGTGTGCAGAAAGCTGGCCGGATTCCACACGACATTTCCAAACATTCGCCCTAAAGAAAGACGACGGAGTCTTGCAGCTACAACCATGTTATGCTGTCAGCTGGTAGCAGGGAGATTGGTTCCCAGCTAACCGGAGTACCCGCAGGCGATGTCACGCATTGTCACGCGATGGTGCAAAAATGCCAATATCAAATCACGCTACGGAGGGGTAGGTAACGTCTCAGTCAATGATCTCTTGAGACATCAAATAAGTTGAAACATTTTATTTCTGCGCAAGAGGACACATGTATCATTAGGGAACATGTCGATCATTTTGATTCTCTTCATCAAAGTGCGACATACTCACATGTGCGTTTTACAAATGCTACGTGCGAGTCTATTGAATTACTTTCGCAAAGCGCGTGTATACCGCAAGGTTATAAAAAAAACCATTTTAAACACTTGTTATTTACCAGTCTCGTGCACAGCGCTTTGGTTTGAACTTGAAAAATGATTAGTATCCAAAATTACTATCAAATCAAATTGACAATTGGGAGCTGGTCACAATGACCGTGACAAAACTGGGGCGAGACGAGAAGGAAACTCTAGTCCTCAAATTTCGCGCGGCCATTTTATGCATTCACTCGCCTTTTTCGTTTCTCGTCGACGGTATAAGCGGGAAAACAATGACTGCTCCTACACTACATTTCACATGAAATCATCTGCGCGCATTCTCTTTCCCGCTTTTAAATTCTGCAGATTCTTTAGCTTACTAAGAATCTGTTTATCCTCTGACACACGAGTTTGTCCCAATGATTGGCTAGAGCAATCACGTCCTTTCGCTTTCTTGTCAAGTCTTTCCTTCTCGTCGTCTCGATGTTTACTTTTATGCTTGTGTTTGTGTTTTCGCTTCTCCTTGTGTTTATGCTTGTGCTTCGAGCGATACTCGTCTTCACTGTCCGTAGAATCAGAATAACTTTTCTTTGTGTCTTTTCGTTTTTCTTTCCGTTTTCTACGTTCAGAATCTTCTTTATTCTGTGCTTTGTCAACGCTGTGTTTTTCTCTGGAGAAAGAACGCGAAGAAGAGGGCTGGTGCCCGCTGGACGGAGGTGCTGGCCCGAAAATTTCCCTAGCCGATTCAACTTCATCGCTTTTTGCGTTTTCAGTCACTACAACTTGCATGTCAGTCTGTTTTAGTTCTTTTCCAGCAGGCTTGCTAGGCGAATCCTGATTTAAAGTTCTATGATTAGAAGTAAATCGACTAGCTAAGTTGTTGTCTTCAGTTCTTAAATCGACATGGCTGCTCGAAGCCTTTTCTTGAGGCTTGTTCTCCGAAGCTTGAATCGATATGGGTTCGGTTTCTGCTTTTTCGTTCTCGCCGTCATCTTGGTCACTCGCTTCCGATTCTTCCGAAGATGAATCAGCGAATATTGCTTTGAACAAATCCATACTTGGCCGCTTAGGAGCAGAATTTACTCCTTCATTTTGTGTTTCTTTCGTTTTGTCTTCTTGTGATTCACTCAGCTGTGTATCACTTGATCCTATCCCCTTTTTACCAACAGACGTGGTTACGGACGGCACTACAAAAGCTTTCGTCGCTAACTCGGAATTTGCCGACTTTGAATCGGAAGGTATCGGTTCATCGACAGATTTCGATGTCGTTCCGAGCCTTTCCGACTTACTGTCGTCGTTTGAAATCGTCGGCAATGGCTCGTAAGTCAAAGCACGGGGTTGTGGCTGTGTTATAAGATCTCCGAGTGTAAACTTCGGCCTCCGAATTTTAGGTACACCCACAACACGAGAACCTGGATATGGATTAGGAATGTTGAATCGTTTACATAAGGTGTTCTCGGGATGCCACTCGAAGGTATCCCGAGTTAATTTCCCGAACATTTTCATACTGGCCGCTTGTGTTTGGTCGGAAGAACCCGACGATTCTTGAGCTGGTACCTCTTCGTACACAATTCTGTGGTCGTCGGGTTGTTTAGCCGAAGTAAACCTGGCCGCCATTGTAGAATTCATTGGTCTGTACAAGGCGGCGGAGCGGGCAAATTCCTCTTTTTCGCGTTCTCTCTCCCACTCCGTCAGGCCACTGCAAGACAAGGTATGTATCGTGAGTGCTCACTCTTGACAAACAAAACAAGGACAAGTTCAAATATCGTCCTATGCAATCACGAGGCCAAAAAGAAGATTCGTCTACAACGCAAGAAAGAAACTAAATGAAACAATTTTGAAGGGGGAGAAACAGTTCAAAGGAAAAGAAAGCAAGAGTCTGTAAGCAGAGAAACGTTAATCTAATCAAAAAACAAAAGTGCACGTTTTTAGGTAATGTTCGTAAGAACCCGAACAGTTTCCGATAACTCTTAACCGATCAGAGCACTGTGCACCGAAAGTTATCGCGCCAATTCGTCTTCGTAAAGCGGTGCGATGCGACTTGGCAACCGTTGTCACAGAAACCAAGGCCCCAGTAAAATCTTTGAGATGTTACATTTAAAGGACTTGTTGAAGAGACTACGATCTACATGTAGGAAATCTGCGAACAAAGAATGATGCTGATTCAGGAATGAAGTTTGCACTATTTTTTGTTGCTTACCTGTCGTGAACCTGTTGAGAAACCTGCCCTCCTTGTCTTAGTTTCAAAAACTCTTCGTAGCGGGCCTGTTTGGCCGAGTCTTTCATAAACGGTTTAAAACTACTATGACTACTCCATCGGCTGGACGACCAACTCTTTTGCGTTGAATCACTCGATAAAGAACCTTTTACTGTAGAAGGCATTGTGCTGGAAGGCTTGGTTGCCTTATCCTTCGATACTGACAACACTCGCTTCTTATCCTCTTCGGAGAGATATTCAAACACTGACTTTTGAGGTGCTGGGAGTGGTTCTTCTCCAAGCATTTCTCCTCTGTCTGACGCAGTTAGAGTCTTTCTGTTTTGAGCAGTTTCTTTAGAGGACTTTGATTCATTTATGGAATCAGCAAACTTGTGAGTGCAGTCAAAGCCTCGTGGCACCACCGGGGGAGGGAAGGGTTTCATTGCATCCATGGCTTTGGGTGTGGCAGTAAAAATTGACAATGCACCACCTAAGTCCCAAGAAAGAAATCAACTATTTAGTCTCATGATTGAAATGTTAATTATCTTTACCGATTTCCATACATTTCCCTCAATGCATGTTCTGAGAGTTTGGTAGTATATCAAAATAACATCCTCTAGTTGATGACTTTCAGTATGTTTGACATCTGAGTATTTGACAATGCATTAATTATGCTCAGAATATGGCTGTTATTAAGTTTTGAGTCAAACATCAAGGGCCCATCAAGTATACTCAGCCGTAAATATGGGTTATTGACCAAATGTGAGGTCAAGATAGCTGGATATTAGTCAAGTTCTTTTTCTGTGTGTTTATGGACTGAGACAGAGTCCAGATGCATAAACAGCCAAAACAAAAATCAGGCCAATATCCAGCCATCTTGACCGAAGAAGCTTGGTCAATAAAGGATTTACTATATGGTTTTCAGGGAAATTTATCTTGCTGGACATGGTGGGTAGTCCCAAGCAGGCAAGACAGCTCCATCTTGCTTGCTCAGGTAGCCAATCACAGTGCAGGATTTGGTTCATCTTGTTGACTCATGGAGCTAGACATGTAATATTAGGAGTTACATGTTATGGCCCTTGATAAAGGCCCTGTACACAGGGAAGCTAACTTCCAGTTATATTTAGAACATCAACACTAACTGAGTTGCAACTAATACACCATTGGGAGGGCCTTCTCAAACTAACCTCTAGTATTTTCTTTAGGAGGGCCAGTCCAGCCATGGAGTCCAGTAGTTGTATCAGCCCCGAGTTCTATGTCATAGTTAGACATGTGGTCTACAGCATAGATGTTATCGTCAGCCTCCTCAAATGCACCTACACCAAATGCCTATGTACAAAAGGCAACAAACATACCAAGGTCAAGCTCTGTTAACACAGACAAAGTGGCAGTAGATAAAATGTCCAAGTGTTAAGAAGTAGGTAAAGTACTCAGAGACAGATTTTTATGCACAAAGATTTTGCCTAACAGATGTTGACAACATGAGAAGAAAATAAGTTTAAAATACTATAAAAGAACTACTAAAAGAGGAAGTGAAGCATAACTTTGATTCTTCTCCCTGTTAACTTCATGTCAGGACTGGTGAGCTAGACTGACAGCTATAGAGAAAGAGGACATGGAAAGAGGGGGCTTAAAAATGGGATACAAGGCACTGCCTGTAAAATATACCTCCCCAGAGATGCCCTTCCGTCCCACTCTAGTTGATACAGGATCAACTCCAAGCCAGTTGTCTTGACCAAACAGTGCAGTAGATGGGTCCAGTCCTTTGTAACCAAGTCCATGTTTATCATCTTTTGGGGTAAATGTGAACACCTCAACATCTTTCGGTGCAAAGAGCAGACCAACTGCAAAAATGTCCTCTTCTTCATCATTTCCCGTTGCTGGTTGTGACGAAGATAAACCCGGTGGCAGAGAGCAACCATACACCTACAAAACAAACATATTATTCTTGATTACTGCACCTTTCAATTAACATGCCAACTCTGCTCAATCAATGGTTTTATGTTTTGTGCTCTCAGTCAACTTAGCAGACCTCTCAGGAAACAGAAGTTATAAAGCTGTACTTCAATGAATCAAAAGGTGACGTCTCCTGGCAGCGGGGGATCCCCTTTTAAGAAGGACACAGGTGCTTGTTGTACCTTCTAGGGGTTGAAAAGCGGATTTGGTACCTCTTAGAGTGTTCAAGCCGCAAAAGATCCCAGTGTCAGTTACTGCCCTGCTTTAGAATTGGTACCTACCTGACTTGGTAGTGGTTTTGGTATGACATTGAGTTTTGACTTGGTATTGAAGTATTGCGATTTTTGGCAATTTTTTTTGTGTGACATTGTGGTATTTCCCAATTTGTTTTTTGAGGTATTGCTGTGTTCAAAACCCCCACAGTTTCCCTCTAATAAGCCGACTTATAGCCACTGTCTTTTTCACAGTAGCTGCCAAGCTTCCATTTTTCACCTTTTTCTTGGTTCTCCTTTCACGAGCTCCAACTCCCTGTCCTTCTTTCCATCCCATCTTCTTTAGCAGTTCGACTCCCACGGACATTTTCACTGGCACTACGAGGTCCTGTAGTAGGGGTCCCCCTGGGATAATGCCTTCTGACAAATCAGAAGTTACGACACGTTTACGTCGATTCTGTTCACTTCCCTGGGATAAAAACTCTTCCTTTGTAGCAATTCTTTTAGGCGCGATTCCAAACTCGTCCATATCCTCATCATCCATAAAATCTTCAGGTCTCTGTGCTCTTTGCTCGCCTTTTTTCGAGCGAGATGATACGAAAGTGGATGGCTGCCAACCCTCTTTCGTCCCAACCGTGTTGAAATATCCCGCTGAAAATCCGCCCGTGAAAGCGCCATGGAATCGTCTTCTTCCCTCAGCATCTGTAACAACTTGCTCGTGTATCGGAACTGCCTTTTTGCGCGGTGCATCTTCTTCTACAGGTTCAAATGGAGTTCCAAAACTCGCGAGCGTATCTTCATCGTCGCTTGCCGCCATCTTGAAAAACCTGCTGTAAACAGCGCATAAATCAGCCTGACAAACCGCTGATCAGTACCCTCGCGCAAAGGATCATTCGTTGTTATGAACGGCGACATAAACGAAGGTTGCTTAGTTACGAGCAAAGATGGCGGGCAAGAAGACACGAATCTGTTAGCTGCGATCAATTCGTCATTTATTCTCCTCAGAAAAGCATATTTAAGATAGATTTTTCACGTAAGTAAGAAACTAAGAGAAAGTTTTACTTTTATTTCAGTGTTGATTATAAATATAAGATTTCTGAAGTGGGAAATTTCATATTTGCGGTCGACCATTTATACGAACAATGTTTTCGTTTATAACTTACGCTGACATTTGTTCGCGTCTTACGCATTCCTTTATGAAATGCTGGATAAATTTTAAGCACATTTTTCTTACTCAAACACAGAGTGAAAAAAAAAATAATTTGCCGAGTGATTATGAAATCCAGTGCCTCGATCTATTGGTTGGAACAAAATAAGTCTTAAGCAAACTTATAACTGTTTTCTGCAGCATGGTTTAGTCCAGATTATTGATTCGTTTAAGTTTTATTCACGTTCCACCAGGTTTCGAATTCAAAATGCTGTCCAGTTTGGATGCAATCCACATTTCAGCAGTGTTAGAAGACTGCGTAGATCAGCTGGCGATCTTAGGTCATATCATGCCACCGACATTGGAAGGAAAGCCGGATGCTGCACAAATTGTGGACGATGAACTGGGGCAGATTTTGCAGGATCAAAGAGATCTAGAGTCCAGATATGAAGTGGTGAGAAACAGAGATTGTGCATGAAGGTGAAAAAGCACCAGTCCCAAACATTTATGCATTCCCAAGGTTGTGCTCTTAGAAAAAATTCTAGGGAGCCCTTCGGGCACCCAACCTTGTAGGCTAGGGTGCCCAGAAGTCAAGCTTGGTGGGCCGAACGAAAACAAAAAAATATCCAAAAATTAATTAATTGATAATCAATTGATTAATTAATTATAATTGTCTAATAACATTATTAATAAATATGTGATAACCAGTTGACCCTGAAATATAATTTGTCTTGTATGTTTCTAGGGCATTTATCCTATTTAGAGATGCCAAAGATAAAGGCTAACATGTAATTTTTTATAATACTGTTGTCAAAAGTCCACAAAGAAAGTTTTTTGTTATATGTAAAAAATTAAGTCCTTTTCCAATTCCCTCTTTTCCCTCTATAGTTCACATTCTTCTTCAATTAGGGATTTTTCATGCACAATATACAAAGCACAAGAACTAAGAACACTTTTTGTTGACGCTGTACAAAGTAAACAAGGAAACTGCTGTCCGTACCACTGCAGGCCAGTGTTAAACATACGCATTGAACCGAGCCATTGAACGACCGATGTTTTGACTTCACAGATTTATTTAAACATTCTGAATTGAGCCATTTTGCCTTGTAAACTTGAATGCAACACAAGAAATCAAAAAGGGAAAGTCAAATTTATTATTATGAGACTGTTTTCATCTCTAAGTTAAATCTCAAAAAGGAGGTTGCCCGGCTGGGCGACTAGGTATGTTTTTCTTGTCACCCGAAGATGAAAGCTGGTCGCCTCAGGCAACCGGGCGCTGCTAGAGCACAGCCTTGATTCCACAATAGCATATATACAGGATTCTCACTGAGTGCTGGCAGCTGCCTAAACAACTGGCTTCTTCGATTTCCGAGCCGCCTACTTTTCATGAAATAATACATGTGTAAGTTGTTAAGAGTAATTAGGGAAAACACAGGTTTTTTTGGAATGTGACTGAACCTTGTCTGACTGTCCTTGTCTCAGGACAGTTGAGGCTGTAGCTTGAGAAGAGGCATGGGGTTGGGGTGTGGTATACATTTTCAGTTACGCTAGCACTGTAGAATAAAAATTGAAAACAACTGTTTGTGATCCCTTCATATCTTGGTGTTTTGACCTTTTCCAAATCTGATCTTTTTGGAGGAATTATCTCCAAGAGAATGCGTAAAATTACATTACAGAGCCTTTGAAATGTTCAATCCATCTTTTCTATTTCTTTTCTTGTTTTATTCATTTGATTTTATTACTTGTGTTACAGCTTATGAGTAATAGAGATGATCCCAATTCCAACCACAAGAGCCAGCTTAGAGTAATGGATGATTCACTGCCTTCTGTGGCAAGATCCTTACGAGACAGCACCAATGGTATGTACGGAGTGGATGATGCTGTGTTAGCTGTCAGTGAGATTGGATAATGGGGTTGTGGGGGGAAAGAAGGTTTGAGAGAAGAACTGCTTCCTTTGGGATGTGCTATGTCTAAGTACCTAGTGGAACTCATCAGAATTCCAAACTGACTTGGTATTCATTAGGGATAAAAAAGATGCAGTCTTTCTTCAAGGCTGCATAGCTTGTAAACCGGATGAGTGCCTAATTCCAGTTTCTGTAACAGGAAACAACTACATGTACATGTGAAAAGATTGCCTCCTCCTCGGTACGATACTGTTCCACTGTGGGCTACCCCTCCCCCTTATCTTCAGCCCATTGTAAAAGTTTGCTAGTACTGCGTAAACGTAGGTGAAGGGAGGGAATGCAACACAGGGACCCAAGAATATAACACAGTGAGTCAGCCAGAGCTTGAGCTTGAACGTTTTCTCTTTCCAATCCTCACATTCTCTTAACCAATTACTTGACATATTAATTTTTGAAGTAAAGTTCATTTATAATTTTGCATAAGATTTCACCAATTGTGTAGTGAAAAGGAAGTGAAATTTACTTGTAAGGAATAACCTTCACATCTTTTACATGATACAAAATGTGAACATAGACAACGGAGAGCCCTGCATACAAGTTACCTTTTAGGACAAACACTGACCAAAATCCATCTCTAATTGTATGTGGGATCAGTGTCACTTGAGGACTTGATTATACTCAGCATTGTGCTAACAAATCAAAATTCTTAAGTAACAACACAAAAATTGACTTGTACTAGTGCTGTGTTTGAAATATTGTTGTTACTTCCCAGTTTATGGTGTTCCTAGTGTTCTGGGACACATTTATTTAACTGTCTTTTTCTCTAATCATGTTTTTTATCCTTGTGTAGCACTAAACAGAAGTTTCAGACAAAACCCCTTGACAAATGACAGTCTATCAAAAATTCAAGCAGATAGGTAACCTAAAGTCTCTATGTTTTATTTAATTTCTGAGTATTTTAACCTCTACAGGATTACATGTAATAGGTTTGACACAGGGCAGTGTTAGGGCATTTGGAAGAACAAGGAAGAACAGTGGATTGAAACCCTCTAGTCTGTAACCATGGTTCTTCTTGTCCTTCTAGTTTCCATAGCAAGGCTGTGTGGTCAAAAAAAAAAATTTGAGGAGCCCAAAGGGTCCTAACCATGAAATCCTGAGTGCCCAGCACTTAAAGTTACATGAACAAAGTAAGTTTTTCCAGTTGCCCAAAGGCAAAATTTAGTCCCCTATGGCACCTGGGCACTTCTAGAGCACAGCCCTGCATTGCATTAAGAGACAACAATAAAATAGTATTTTCAATTGACAAGCATTAATTAGCAGTATGCATTGTCATGTATGAAGAGAGCTACATGTATAACTACTGTTAGGTACAAAGCTGACTAGGTATGCTTTACTATCTCTGCACACACTGCGTGCCTACAATTCTATTATGTACCGCAATGGAGGCAAAATTAACGACTAGGTTCTATGTTGCCAATTGTCTGTTCAGTAATTGATCACAGATGATGCAAAATGTGGTCAGAACAGGGGGGGGGGGCACACAAGGCGATAACTGGGTATGTTCTTACCACATTTTGATTTTTTCTGTGATATACCTGTTCTACTGAACAGAGATCAACATCATAGATTCTTTCTGCTTTATATTATACATACATGTACAGTTAGAAAAACATAATGTTAAGACAACAATTTCTTATTTGTGCAGAAAATTCCTCCAGGAAGTTATGGAGGAGACACTTAGTGAGGTTGTTGGCAACAGATCGTTTGACTCCCTCGTCAAAGCTGTAAATACAGAGAAAGAAAAGAAAGCAGGACTTCAGCAAACTATACTCAAGTATGTATTATTTACTGTATGTTCAGGATGTATTGAGTGTGTCTGATGAGAACAAATACTCAGTGCACACTTTAATTTAATTTTTTCCTTCAAGTAAACATGTTCTTGTCAGCAATCTTTGTGTAGTTGCTAACTATCCAAATCATTCAATCAACGATCTGACCAATCACAAAAATTAAGTTACCATACAAATAATTGACTATAAGTAAGAATCTGACTATCACAACTTGAAAGAAAAACATTGACCAGTACAAAGGGCAGGAAAACAGACATACACCAATATATGATAAGTTAAGGTTTTGTGTTTTCGTGTTTTTGTTCCGATTTGTTGAGTGATTGATTCTGGTTCCTTGAGGATAATAAGGCTAAAACTAGCCTCCTACACAGATACTCGTAGGGGGTTGTCACACATAATTTATCACAAAGATTGTGTGACGGTTGTCACACATATCTCAAAGATTGTGTGACAAGCTCAAAGTACCATACATCTAGACGCTTAGGAGGCTAATGTAAAACAAGACCTTTTGAGTCGTGGATAGTTTGTTGATATTCTAGGCATTCTAATAACGGATTCACTTCTATCTATATTAATATTTTGTGTAACTTTACAGGGAGGAAGAAAGCCGCAGACTTGTGAAAACTCTCCAAAGGCAACTGGGAGATGTGAAAAAGGAAAAAGAAAGTGAAATACAAGTGAGTCTCGAAAAACTTTCCTTTTTAACTCTTTTGGTTAGTACGACCTTCTTTGAAGAATTATTCATTGGTAGATGTGGGTTGAGTTTTAAATTAAAACCATTTGAAGATGCTAACAAATGTTTTTACTTGAATAAAACCAGCAAAGAAATGAAATGATTGCACATCTCAAAGATCAGTTACAAGAAATGAAGGCCAAAACAAGCATGGAAGGAAAGTACATCAAGAAAGATGCTGAGGTAAAAATTTCAAACCTGTAGCACACTCTTACTTATTGTGATAACAAACTCAGTTAGTAATTGTTTCCTACATGTAGTACAGTTTTTGAAAAATAATAAGATAAAGTCTGCATACGAGCCAAGTGGCCCTTTAGGTCAGAGCTTATTCCGATTTCTGTAGCATGAAGCGACTAGGAGTATTTCTAGTCTCCCCTGGATGGGATGCTAGTTCATCGCAGAGTTACCCCCATCATTAAATTAGCCGAGACCCATTTATACACCTAGGCATAGAGAGACTAAAGTGTCTTGTCCAAGAACACAACACAATGTCCCCAGCCAGGGTTTGGACCCAGCTGCTTGATTCAGAGTCTGGTGCACTAACCATGAGGCCACCGCACCTCCCTTGACAAATAATAGCAAGCCATTATTAAGTGAGAGTGACCAATGATGGGGAGAAACTTGAAATATGAGTATCACATTTTCAAATTTCCTTTCTATTCCCTTTGAAGTCAGCAAAACGTAAATTGTTCTTTGTCATTTAGTTGTTGATGGTGACTGTTAAAGGAGCTCAGTAACGGTATTTTGAGTTATTTTGGCCTTGTACAGAATTACCTTTCAATTGAAGGAAACCTGAAAATAGTAGTTTATTGAGATAGAAAAACACTGAAGAGATAATAATAACCCTTAAAGGAACAAGGATGGTTAAGGATGGAGCAGACTGACACGGATTACAAACAACGAACTTAAAAAAAATTTAGGCTGAACTTTTTAAGATGCACAAACCGTTACTTAGCTCCTTTAAGTATTTATTCCACAAATGTAGCCGGAAGAGACTTTTATCCATTTTTCTACAGTCAATAGCCAGTGAGCCTACTTCACTTTTCAAATTAACAGCATTTGGGCTGTGCCTTTCTCTGTTTAGGTTCGCGTCAGCTGCACACAGAAACGCTGTCAGCAAGGGGAGAACGCTCTGAAGGAAGATCTTGAGGTACAAGTTACAGTTCATTGTACCGTACATGAAGTCATGCATGTAGACATCTGAAACACCACCGACGTTAAATGAGTTTGAATCAGCAACAAAAGCTAATAGTGTGCGGTAACCTGGATACAGAATGATGAAAGGAGATGACAAAAAAAACGTTTTGGTTCAGGTTTCTTTTCTGAAGACAATCTGTAGACTTTTTGCTTCACAAACAGACATACTGAAAACATACTGATGAATAAACCCTTTGTTTGTTTGCTGTTCATGAACGAGTTAGGCAAATGGACAGTGGATGTGACAAACAAGAGTTCGTTAAACCAAAGTTGCACATTCACTAATACATAATCCAATTCAGCTGAGCTATTCAGCTTTAGATTTGCCTAGAACATCACTTGTGCAACTCTACACCATTTGTCACGGTTTTGTGGAAGAAGCTGTAGGTTATGGAGTGATTCCTCGTTCGACCAAACCATCCTTCACAGTGCAATATTTATCACTGTACGTGTAACAGCTTTTAGTGGTTTTTATGCAGTCGTGACGGGAGTTGTTAATCTGCTGAATTCCCCTAATTTTACGTTTTGTTCTCGTTTCGTTTCGTTTGGCAGACACTGCGTTACAAAATAGATGAAGAAGCTCGCGTCAATTCCGAAATTGAGACCTATTTACGCCAACATCACCAAGTAAGTGAAAAATATACTCAAATGTATGCTTTCCCCGTTATTTTGAGAAGAATAAGCGCAAAATGCAGTGTTAGTATCTGAGAAAATTCTCTCCAATTTTTTTTTCTGAGATCCCTCGGTTTGTCTGGAAAATTTTGGGACGTTCTTGCAGTTCATACAGGTTTAGTCTAGTTTTAAATCAGATTAATGTGAAGATTTCATGTTATTTTTCGCAGATACTGGAAGACAAAGTGGAATACTGGATGAATAAATATGACAGAGATGTGGAACAGAAACAACATGAGCTGGATGTTTTGAAGGTTTGGCGTCCTAAAAAACATCTAAATTCTCCTTACAATATCGATGGATTATAAAGCAGACAGGAAATAAGAGTAAAGAAAATGATCACCAGGAGATAGTTTTGATGTACTGCCAAATTCTCAGAATTGACATTCAAAGAAATGCATAGCAATGAGTAAGGAGAATTAAATGTTTTATCTTTGTTGTCATTTATTCTTTAGGCCTCCAAAGCTAATGATCTCGCAAAGCTTCAAGAACTCACACAAAAGGTAAGAAAGTTGATGAATGAGTGGGTAACCCAGTTTATTACAGCATTTGTCGTTCTCTCAGACTTTCACCCGTGTTTTTATTTAGCAATTAGACTATGAGCTCCAGATTTCTATCGCGGGATAAGTGACGAAGTCAACTACCCCGCGATAGAAATCGAGAGCGACTAATCTAATTGTTTTACTATAACTGGTCTACTAGTGGTTCAGAACTTTATCTAAATCCTCTTCACGGACACTTCAAAAATTCAGAGAAGCGGTCGCCAGTTTGTTAACAAGCACTCACTGCTACGCTACTCACTATCTACAACAGAAGATGGTGAGTAACGTAGCCAATCAGAGAAGGCCAGTCGTGATAGAATGCTAGTAGATTTATACTAAAACGCGATAGAAACAATGAAAATATTCTCTCTTTCCTAAAGAGTGTAACACAACTCAATCATTTCGTTCTCGTTCCATAAAACAAATCGCTAACCATGCATTTGCCCAACGCGCTTGTCAATCCCTAAAGAATATGTAAGTGATGGCGGCTTTTTTCGCCTATTGCGTGACGAAAAGGAACTGAAATTTACATGTAAGGAATAACTTGCACGTCTTTCTCGTGATGCAAGCAGTGGGCAGCATATCAAGACAAGAAGATTGATTTAGTGATACTAAACAGATAAATTTATTTCTCTCGCCCAGAAACACATGATCCCTTGCTGTGAATCGAACCCGGAACTCTTGATGTCGAGTCTAACACGAAATTCTATAAGTAATGGTCGTCTACAACTGTAAGCTGAACGTTTGTTTTGATCCACAGTATTCCGATTATGAAAAGGTTGTGATCGAGGACCGTGTTGCTAAGGAACAAGCCAGACGAAAGGCAGAGCAGGAACTAGAGGAACTCAAGGCTGCTACAAAAGTAGGTTCAAAAAAAGGTTTTGCCATTCCGTGTTTACCATGCTCTAAAAGCTTCAAAGCCCACTAGATAGCCGTTTTGTTTTGGTCGCTAAATGGGGGGTCGTAGTGCCATAGGACTTTCGGTTCCAGTTTTTTGTTTCGTCCAAGGCGTCGCGCGGCTGACCGAAAACGCGCGGGGTGTAGGGACGAGTTTGGAAAGCGGGCTACTAAATTTAGGCTCAACATGCTCAAGCATGGTTTTGCCTTTTCTTTCAGTTACAGTCCTGGTGGAGGGGGACCATGGTGCGTAAACAGCTAGGACCGTACAGTAAGAAAAAGAAGAAGAAAGGAAAAAAGGGAAAGAAATCCGGAAAAAAGGGAGGAAAGAAGAAGAAGAAGTAACTCAAACCTCACCACTAAACAACGCTGTATAGTAAATTGTAATCATTTGTATAGGATGAACAGCTTTATGGTAACATCTCAAACTTGTGTAAATTTTTCAATAAAAATATCGATTTGAAAGGAGACCTTTTTTTACGTGATGGTTTAAAATTTGTTTTCGGATAATGCATTTCTAGCGTTCTGATCGGTTCATGGAATCTCAGTTACCAGCCGTTATACCTGTGTTTGACCGTATATGGAGAATAAGTGCGGGAAGAGTCGCTTAGTGGAAAGTTCTGTCGGAAAAAATGGCTGGCAGCAGCACATTTGGTACGCATTCAGGAAAAATATCGGCCATCCTAGAAACTACAAAAGGTCACAATTAACTCAACCACCTAGAGTTTAATGGACGCATTTAATCGAAATAGATTTTGTAGATGTACAGCAAAAAGCCAGCGAAGGAATGAAGATGACGAAGTGTAAAAAAATTCATGAGAAGATCCAAAACCAGGGTCGTAGCCTGGAAAAAAGAAATCATGAATGAGGCAAAAGATTGTTACAATATTTTGGCTCTATTTCACAGTCATGTAAATCAAAAGAAGTGGACAACTTGCATCTCGAGGCTATATAGTTCGGCGTACAAACAAGCAATGACATAACGTGATGTATCGAGCTCGAGAGGTGATAAATGAACATAGAGCCCTCTGGCATTGTTACGAAATAATGCAAACGCAACAGTAGGAGGATAATTAAGGAGATGTGAAACCTTATGAAGTCATATTAATCGTAGGTCAGAGACGTTACCACAAACAAAGTACCGCTAACCACCAAAGCTAACTTAGCTCAGTCAGTGCTAGACGCGTGACCAAGTAATAAAATCCCTGACCATACCTGTACTGCGGGTTCCCATTTTATTTTCTATTTTAAGAGTAAAACCAGGACGTGCATTTTAATTATCCGCTTCCTTAAATTAAAACGAAAATAAACTGCTTTTTGTACCAATATAGATTCCGTCATGAAAAACGTGACACTTCCCACGCTAAATGCGTCACGTTATGCAATATTATTCTTACACTTAAAACACAATTTACGTCAAAAGGTCGAGTGTAAACATAAATAGAAAACTAAACTACTCACTCGTTAAGCGGATTCGCTACGGCCCTAAAATCCCAAAACAATATCTTTCAGCAAGTGAAACCAGATTTCCGCGTAAAATTAAGCGTAGTCCTTTACTAAAGCTTGTAACCTGACATTTAGATCTTATCCTTTTGTATTTCATGAGTGAACTCGATCGATTCTGAGCCTCACAATAATACTAATAAAGTCGCGTAAACAAGGACTGAACTCTTGTCACATTTCACTTTAGCAAGGCGTGTAATTTTCTGCAAAGCTACTACCCCGCCTTACGACCACCTCGTTAATACGACCACCTGGTTATCACGGCCACTTTACTCTGGCCCGAAGTAAAGCTCAGTCAGTCATTTTCTTATTTCAAGAACTCCTTTAATACGGCCACCCCGTTAATACGGCCAGATTTTTGTGGACCGTTGGTGTACTTCGGATTTCACTGTGAATCTTTTGTCGTTTGACACAGTTTTCCATTATGTAAACAACTTTGGAAGTGATTTGCGAGGAAAACTATGTTTCAGTCTAAAACGTGTTTTGTAGGCGTAAATTTACGTTAGCTAAGTTCCGGCAGTGTTCGAAAATTGTGTTCGAAATCTCTCTGAAGTGAGTCAAAAACTGTCCGAAATGAAATGTCCAAAATAAAACGTCCGAAATTTTAATGTCCCGAATTTTTTTGCAAGTAATGCGTAACCGTTCGATAGAAGAATTCATAAAACAATTATTCCATTCTTGTTCGATAAGACGTGATTATAACAACCGTTTGTTATATATCACCTGGTATCCAACGTGGGGTCCTAATAATTGTCAATTATTCATCCGATGAGCTATTATTACCCGGTGGAACAGCACGGACGAGATATTTCCGGATATTTTCATGTTATTAGAAACAACCTGCTTCATTTCTCTCTTTTCAAAGTCAGATATGAATTTCTGCCCATTGCTCTTTATAGTGTCTACATTTTTAACAGGACACTTGCAGGTTTTTGAAGAAAATCACATTAACCTTTTGAAGAGGAAGATCACTGATTTCAAATTCAGGCAAAATTTTATTCGATTGTGACAGGTTATTTGCCACGCTATTGAATTTCTAACTCGACTCCAAGGTTTTAACATTAAAATGAAAGGAAAGGCATAATCTCGAAGTGGCTGATGAAATTATATCAAAATCGTGTTATTCTAAGTTGTGTATAGCTTCCATATTGTGTTGGCGTGTTACGTGATGACTTAACTTGACCGACGTGAGAGTAAATTTCTTCTTTTAAAAAGCTTCCCTGCATGCAAACACATATTTCTAGAGAAAACCACTAACATTAGACATAAAAATCGCTTTATACTGCTTAAAAAGTTAACGGCAATTAGTCCCTAAGGCTTATTTTGTTGTCAAATGTTGCGTCTGGAAATTTATTCGTCTCACGTTTTGCTTTGATAATTACTAATGGAACCAGCTGCAATAACCACCTGTCTTTCTAAACTGAACAGGTAGAAGAGTAAAGGAACATGGAGGAAAATTGCTCGCTAAACTTGACTACCACTTCTTCTGTCATTTTAGCCTCGTTAAATGGCGTTTCTGGCTTTTTGACAATAATTGGTAACTCAATTATTCTTCTGGCATTGTACAAAACACCTTCGCTTAAGAAGACAACCTCAAATTATTTTGTTGGCTCGCTGGCTTGTGCCGATCTCTCTGTAGGTCTGTTTGCTAACTCCTTGTACGTGGCTTTAAGTGGCTTTGTTTCTCTTCAAGAAATTCAAGAGTTAAAGAACGCTGAAACTTTTGTTTGGCTGTTAACTACAACTGTTACAACTTTTAATTTGTGTTTTGTAGCAGCTGATCGTTACGTCGCCATTATTCACCCTCTGCGATACCCAGAGGTGATAACGACCAAGCGACTCTTTCGGGCAATTATTTGCATGTGGATTTTCGCTGTTTTATTTGCTACCATTCCTTTTTACCTTCCGTATAGCGACTTGCCGAAACTGTGGATAGCTGGTTCCTTTGTGACATTTTTCTTTCCTTTAGCAGTGCTTTTCTTCTGCTATTGTCGTATTTACTTGGTTGTTAAGGAACAAAATTCTCGGTTGAACAGACAGCCCACCTTCGACCGTTCAACGCCATCTGCGGAAAAGTTGAAAAACAGAAAAGTAGCCACAACCTTTGCAATTTTGACTGGCGTTTTTGTTGCGTTATTTCTGCCGACGCTTGTGGTAAACTTTCTAGGCATGGCCTTACAAAGACAATGTCATATAGTAAAACTGAATATGGCTTGGTTTTGGGCAGCAGTTGTGTCGTTTACTTCTTCTGCGATAAATCCTTGGATTTACGCAATACGAATGACAGATTTCAAACGCGCCATAACAGTGTTGTTAAGCAGGGCGTGAAAGACTCAGCACAGTATCAGGGAATGATATCATAGGCGCAACTGACAGATCTTTTCGGTCCCGGACATTTGTTAAGATGCTGACTGAATACTTGAAAAAATAATTCTGCGGGTCTAGATGGAGTTAAACTGTTAGCTGAAAACTGTTTTAGCCTTTACTATATATCAGCTGAGAAATAACACGTTTATAAACCGATGGCTGAGGCCCCTTTTACATTACGTCGGAGAAATTTGAAAACGCAGCTTTATTTCCGCGGCTAGGCCTACCGTCCACACTAATCCGTCACGAAAACGGAGCTTTTCGAACGGAGGAATTTGAAAACGCGGGCTTTGCATTTTAGTACGCACGGAAAACATTTTGAAAACGGAGTTTCTCGAAAACGACGACGTTACAATAACCATGTGATTCCCCTGACAGAGTTTTCCTCAAACCTGAAAAATCCAAAATGACTGGTGATTATTGCGTTTTGAAATTTCTCTTGCGTAGAGTAGACGGGGCGTGAGTCTCGAGATCTACAAAATTAACGGCTAGCCGAGAAATGGGCGGAAATTTTTAACGGATAGCTAGTAAATTTCCAAAATTTACTGGCAACTGAAATAAGAGCACCCCATTTAAATCCTCTACAAGTGTAGTACGGTGTAGCATTGAAAATCTTTTAACTTTGCAGCAGACCTTCAAACAGAATAAGATACATTGGCAACAAAATTGGAATTTCAATCTGCCTCGCAAGGCCCTCATATTAACTTATTTTTTTATTCTTTGTCGGTTTTTAACTTTCACTGCAAATATCTTTTTAAAGTTAATTTTATTGCATTTGATCCTGGTGTGACACTGTCAGCTTTAAAACATGACGCTGTTTTCAGTGCTAATTAATTTCAACTTATTTTAATCTCCATGTCCCTAGTTGTGAACCACATTATGATTTGGTCCCGTTTACTTCCTAAATAAAGACTAGTAGTAATAAAAGATTAGATTGAGCAGTGCGTTCACGCGTGCTTTGCATGTTTGGTCAACTTTAGTGACGTTTGAGTAGCCCAATAGAAAAACTAAGTTTGATCGAATGACAGATAATAATGAGATACGATCGTGAAGTTGAAGCATGCGATAAAAGTGTTTTTAACTAATTAAGTATTAACTAGTAGCCATACTAAACAAGTACAGATGACATATCTCCATGTAGAGATTAGCAATAACCGCGGATACAGGGCTCCCAGGGCACAGCCATGGGGAGCCCTGTATCCGCGGTTATTGCTAATCTCTACATGGAGATATTTGAAGAACAAGCAATAGAGTCCGCACCTTGCAAGCCTAA